AGAAACACTGCGAGTTCCCGCGGTGTCCTCTGAGAATTCAGGTGGGACCGGGGTGCGGAGCCCCCAGGCGGCGCAACCCCAGTCCCCTCCTCAGGTGCCGTCCTCACCTCAAACCGAACAGGAAGTTGAGCAGGCGAAGAGCTCCACAGAAGGTGGCCGAGTGAGTCAGTCGGATGAAGGTGCAAAACAATCAACTGCGCACTCTTCTCCCGCCGCTGTGGGCGAAGGTGTTGTCGGCGAGCTGACCGAAGAGCGCACGGTGGGGAAAGCCGGCGGGGCTTCACCGCCTGAGAGTGTGGGGCAACAAAACCCGGTCCAGCACGACAACACTCGCGCCGGTACGGCGGTCGCCGAGGGAGCTTCAGAAGCGGCACAAGACACTGCCGGTGGGGAGGGAGTTAATAACTCCGGGAATATCAACAGCGACGGCGGCCCCGCGGCGCAGGCGCAGCCGGGGAGCTCCGTGGCAGCAACCGAGGCAGGCCAGCCAGAACAAAAGGAGCAGCCCGCAGTGCCCACGTCCCAAAGTCAAACGGAAACGAGTGGCGGCGGCGGAGGACAAGCCACTCAGCCGGCAGCGGGGGCGGCTGCTCAAGCGGCGTCCACCACCAACTCGACGAGTGCAGCGAAGGCGGTGTCTGGCGACAGCGACAGCAGCAGCGTCGCGGCCGCACACTCCGCCTTCCCCCTCGCGCTGCTGCTGCTCTTTTTGCGTGTGCGGCTGCCGCTGTGATGCTGGCCGCGTGAGGGACTGAGTGCGGGGGAGGGTCGTGCACATAGCTTGTCCTTCTTCCTCTATTTCTGTGCGTGTCCCCCTGCACGGACTCTCTCGCCCTCGCCGCACCCAACGAGGCAGACACACATAGTGTGCTCATATATATATACACCTCCACTCATGCAGGCCCGTCCTTCCTCCTCTTCCTGCTTTGCACCCGACGAGCCGCTGCCATCCTGCTTGGCTGCATGGGTATAGCACCGTTACTGTTTTTCTCCTTTTTATTGCTTGTTTGTTTTCATTGCTTTCAGTGGGCGACCTCTTGCTTCCTCTTTCTCTCTCTTCCTGGACTGGGCTGTGCGGGAACAGAGAGAGAGTGTGTGTGCTGGTCGTCCCATTTGTTGCTGCGCGTCCCCACTGCTCGGTGGACGTGCCCCCACGCCTCGGCTTCACTTCACCGGGTTTGTTTTCGTTTTGTTTTGTTCTGTTTGACTGCACCCATTGCGCGGGAAACTGAGGTGTGTGTATGTGGCCGCGTACTGCGTGTGCCCCGCACCGTGTGTGTGGTTGGTTTCTTCTCTTTCTTTCTCTCTATTGCTGAATGTGGCTGCGTGGGGTCGTGCCCGGGTGCCTATTTTTGCTTCTCTTCCCCTCGCATTCTCCTTTTGGCTGGCGGTTGTTGTGCAGCTGCAGCGCAAGCCAACAACTACTACGAAGGGAAAGAA